TCACAAGAAGAAGGAAACAAAATACAAATCTCTGTCTAGAGTAGAGTTTGGAATGAATGAGTTTTTACCTCCGCCACATAACTTCGTACAAAAATTTCCTTTCCTCAGTCATGTATTTGTAACGAACACTAAATATTAGTTCAGAGAAGAGTATCTCTTTGGAAAACTTACCACACCTTAATTTGTGCAGGTCACAATCTTATTCAACAAGAATTTGGTTTTTTCTTTCTTTTTAGGAGAAACATTGTTGAATTTATGAACACCACTAATTTGGATTCCCTACTCCAGAATTCCGATTTCAAGTTCTCGGAGAAATAAACATTTAAGTATGCTGCTTTAATTGATCCATATGTATTATTTTTATTATTTTATTTTTTATAAAGGCACTGCACCCTTTCAAAGGCTGATTTTTATTGCAACAATGAAACTAAAATTTCAGGGATGAGAAACGAGCAACACTGCATGAAATCGGTTGCACCGTTATCATGGCAGGTCAAAAAGTCAGGACACGCTAACGAAGCGAGATGATCTGATGCGGTCGATGTTAAAAGCTCGCAAGTCCAGTTTTCCGAAGAGCCTGGAAGTCCTTAAAAATTCCTGTATACTAGGGTTCATCAGATAATTGACTTATTCTGTTTTAAGATCGATCCTCTCATGTATGCAAGCTTTTGTGGTCCGTCCGATCGGCAATAATTACTGTTTGCATTTCATTCGTGCGTCCGATCAATTTATGCAGATGTATGCACAATTGATATTAATGCATTCTGGTAGATGAGCAGGCAATCAGCTGATTCCTCGGTTTGATCAGCATGTGGCGCAATTTATCGACACCCNNNNGGGGGGGGGGGGGGGGGGGGGGGGGTTGTTGGAACGAAGGGACCGAGAAAAGTCCTATGAATTAAAAGATCTATTATAGCGGAACGAACTGTAAGCGACAGTTATTGTGAATTGAAAACGAATATTGAAGGAACAGAATGCAAAGCGGAACGGTCGTTTTTTAAGATATTCTCGTCTTGTCTTTTGTTTGGCGTTTCATTTTTATGAGTTCGGAAGTCGAACGGGAAACAGCGTAAATAATCAAGGACCCAAATTAATTAAAGAAATTTGCGAAAGAGAGAGGTAAACAATTTGGCAAATTAGCTGAATTTTTCTCGTAAAACATATTGTCAGCATTTCCTTTTTGGTCTATTTTACTTGTAGCTCTTCCCCGAGTTTTTTGTTGTAATTTTTGTTGAAATTGTTACTGCTGGAGATCTAACTCGAAAACATTTGATGGGGCTTCGAAGACAGGGCACTTTCGAAAAAGTTGAGGTAATAACGATTTCAACTAAAACTGCAGTCCAAAAAATATGTTCTGTGAAAAATTCACGACTGAACTCCAATCATTAAGCATGAAATAGTGAGTTTGAAATTTTTTTTTCACCATAAGCTCCTCCTTCAAAGAGGAAACGTTGCACCAACTTATCAACCTTGTAATGTAGTCACACTTACATGTAAAGTGTTAATAATTCTAAGGGCTTCGATTGTATATCCTCCTTCACTAGTCCATAAACATGCAAAGCATCCATGAATTTTAACGGCCGGAGAGCATCCGCTACATTATTCCAGTTTTCAAAGGAACAAGCTCATTGACTAACTTCGAATCGCAGTTTCTCCATGTTACCACGAGGCATTGAACATCGAAAGTGATTTGCAATGAGCTCGCCTTTAAGTTGTCGCTGTCTTGTACCTAGTTTTCCAACTCCCACGTGCCCTCCCACTTTTAGCGGACAAGTTTTTTCCCGCCTCCAAGTCCGAGCACCTTTTACGGCGACACCAACCTACCCTTGATACATTATGGAGAGCTGACACAGTTTTTTTCCGCCGTTTTGTCTGTGATTTTGCATCGCGCACTGTCCGTTTCAATGGTGGTCGGCCATGTTTGGACGAGCCTTGATTTGTCACGCTACCTTATACAATATGATGCTCTGGCACGTAATAAACATTATCATTCGCGATTCTTGCCTTTGAATAATCCTTATAGTGTGTAAAAGAGCTACCTTGTTGAATCAACAAATTTCATCAAGGTAAAATGTGAATGGCAAGCATTCAGTCAGGAGCATGCATTGCTGGAGCATAAGTTTGGGACACATGATTGTAGAGCATCATTTATGTGCGAGTAGCCTTTGCCTCGTTGGCAATATCGAAGAGGTCATTGCGTGAATCGATGGATTAAAAATATGGTTTCCCTTCTATCTATTATGCAAGCATGAATGAATCAAACCTATTCCCACCATACTTTCCGTTTGTACCTATTCAGGTTGGCATAAGTTTTTTACAAGACTATTTTTTTCACTAACCTGGTTTTCTATTCGTTTTCATTTAATCGTCCATAAAATATTACACCAACTTTTTTTCGGTATCAGAAATTCGATTCCCGCAAACAAGATGTGATAGTCAAGCAGAATTTGCCGCATCGTGGCAAAGGGCACACCCAGAATTTTTTTGCCTGATCGTTCAAAAAAAAATGGCACATGCTTAGTAAATCACGCGAATCTCGCCCTCATTTTCATGGACAAGCAAACACATGCCGCATGGGTCGGAATTGTCGTATGCTCAATAATTTATACCCAAGTACATCAAGCTCCAAAGAATTTTGAAAAGCGAAAGTCCCTAATCGAGATGGTTCGGGTGTAAAAAAAATACAGCAGCTTCCTTTGAATCAAAAGTTGAATAGTCCGACTACAATGGGCCACTAGACAAGGTACGAATTTCAGCATTTTGATACATGTTTCTTAACCAAAATGTGAAACACGATACGCACAGCGAAAATTACCGAAATCAACTCCTTACGAAGATATTTAATGATTCTTGATGCGTGAATTCAAACCACCCGCTCATGAAAACTCAATGCTCTACGTGATTCACATCGCGCGCTGAACGTTATCATGACAGTCTTTGAGATATAAAAATCGGGCAACCTCAATCTTGACGCTTTGGCTCAGCTATAGCAAATTGCCTATAGTTTGAACAACACATGGTGGGAAATGAACACTGCTCGATTGAGAAGCTTGCTGAAACCGTTGTAGTGCGCGATTTGACTCATGTAGAGCTTTGAGTTTCTTGTGAGCGGGCAGTTCAAATTTCTTGTAACCAATGTGAAATAAAATCGTTAATATCTTCGTTAGGAGTTGGTTTCAGTAATTTTCATTGCGCGATTCGTGTTCTACGTAAAATTCTGGTTAAGAAACATGTATCAGAATCCTTTAACTCGTACCTTGTCTAGTGGTCCATCGCGAAATACTAATTGTTTATTCAATTTTACCCTCTATGGCATAGCGTCACGAATTCGTAAAAACGTATTTTTGGAGTTTTTAAAAATTTAATACATGATTTTGAAAAATGTCGTTAGTTTTTTCCTTTTTTTTGAAAAATTAATTCCTTTAAATTTAAAATTTTGAAAACAAATTTGGTATCCTATTTTTTTATGCAAGCCACAAAATAGATTAGTATCCCCCAGACTCTTGAGATCCAATATTAATTCATGCCATTGTGGGTTACAAGTAGGAGAAAAATATATAGATTCGATGCTCGTTACTTCACATCGATCGTCAGTACAATTGGACGTATTTCTGTCAAACGGAACTGAGCGCCAATTTGAGTTCCTTTTGAGGAATTTAGAATGCCGGATAGCGCCTTCTGTCAAACGGAGCTAAGCGCCATGGAAAAGCATTTCGAGTATAGGACGGAATGAACCCGACGCCCGGTTCCGCCGCCAATCCAAGCCACCCTCTCCCTTAGTCCCCCGATGGCGCTTAGTTCCGTTTGACAGAAATACGTCCAATTGGCACTGTATTTTTAGTAGTTGAGAATAAGATGGCAGACGCTTTTGCGTATACTTCATCAGCTCTCCATGCAGGTACTTCGATTTTGGATTCCTACATGTTAGGTAAGTCCTCCGCCAAAAGCAGTCGGGGTCCAATGTGGTTAGTTATCAGAACTTAGGCATTTTGCCGCAAGGCATTCATTGTCAGTGGGATCTGTAGAATCGGTGCGAGATGAATGGATGAAAGATTCATGATGAACAGTGGCGTGGCTTGATTTTCGATGCATCGATTGATCAACCATTTTAACCTATGGAAAAGGATCGAAAATTAGGGTAATTTTTGCAACGAGCACCTGAATAATCGATTCTTAACCGTAGCCTCAAGTGAGGAAATATCGAGAATCGATCATTCACGCCTCGCCACTGATGACGAAGTCAAACAATGGGCGGGTGCAATCGATAATAACCTCCTCAGTGGGAGTCCTATGAAAGCATTTGCGTCAGGCTCAGTGCAGCAGTCGTGTAGGAGAACAAAACATGCGAACAAAAGACTTTCAATTTTCAAACGTTTTTGGCGTATGTGATAACTGATGTGATGAAACTAATGTGACTAAGGATAACTTCACATTGGCGCCCATGTGATTGGAGCATAATCTGATTGTGAGCTTCGTCCCAACCGTCACTGATAGACTGCTACCAAAGTGCCTCCTAATAAAACCGTAAGTTCAAATGAGGGGCTTGAAGAACAAGACGCATAAGTGCAATTTTTGAAAAAATTAGATAGTAATGGTTTCAAGTAGAACTGAACAGCATTTTGCAATAAGGTTCTCCAATTTCTGGCTTATGTTTAAAAGTGGCACATACGTTGTTTTTGAAATGCGCCTGAATTTGTAGTTCCTAATTACAAATTGTAGTCCAACCAGTCTTAATGCCTATTCTGTGAAGATTCGCTCCCAAATTCCAACTTTCAAGCATCAAAAAGTCAGTTTTGACTTTCTTCCTGGGCCGTAAGGATCCATGTAATTTCACAACTTCAAACTCGTATTCCTCGAAATATCAAAAACTGCCCTTATGCGCCTTGTCCTCCAAGTCCCTCAATTTTAACTCACTTCAAGAATAGAATGCAATTCATCGACACCTCCATCACTGAAATGACACTTTTCTAATATTTACTGATTGTTTTGGTTTGTTGCAGCGATCGCGATGCACTTTCTGTTCCTGGCGGCGTTTTTCTGGCTCAACACCATGTGTTTCAACATCTGGTGGACTTTCCGGTAAGTTTACACTTCCGCCACGCACCCGTTTCCGTCTACTCACCTCTGTCTCTCTCTGTTCGGTGTCGTCCTATCGACCTCTTTCTTCGGCGCTTCGCTCAGGATACGCGGCGCAGGTCCAGGACCCTCGGCGAGTAATAAGAACTGCGATAAAAAAAGAGAGCCCATTGTTTCCGCGCTCAGCGCACAGTTGCAGTGTGTCATGCAGTGTTGCCATCCCTCACAGTTCCTCAAAGCCCCTTTTCAACGGGTCAGTGGACCAATATACAGGGTGGCATGAAACGTAAAGAAGTAATGAAAAATCGGAAATTTCAGTGAAACATTTCATGAAATTTCACAAAGCTGTGGAATATTTCATGTTTTTCAGGGGCTAGAGTATGCAACCCGCACTCAATCACACAAAAGTAGAAGAAAGTCACAATTTTTTACATTTTGCGAAACGTGAAAAGGAATCGGTATTTTTCAATATCTTGCAGGAATTTCTGAAATTTTATGAAATATTTCACGTGAAATTTTGAGATTTTATTTTTCTTGGAATTTTGCCATCCTGCCAATGTACTTTCTGCATAATTTTTCGTCCCCGAATGAAGAAATGTAACTCCATTCCAAGGTTGCCAAATTGTCGCAAACAATTCAATTATTTACGAGAATGTAACCGTGCAATAGTTGTACAACATTTTCCCGATTTTTGCATAAGATCAGAAGAAAAATCGCTCAAATTCTCAGGTAGAAAAGCCAAAGATTCTCTTGAAATAAATACAATTTGCATGGTAAAATGCGACAAAATTGAAGTATATTTACGCTCTCACGAGAGGTCAACGACGAATTGGAGGAAAATTCAGGAAAAGTCTCAAGGCGACATCTCGTTCAGCTTTCTAAAAAATATATCGGATGTAAAATTCCTTCGTTTCATTCTCGAGGCAATATTTGCCGCAATATGCTGAAAGCTCCTTTCCCATTTATGGAGCAAAATTGGAGCTTTAATTCGGCGCGCTCTTCATACCCAATTTATTTTACAGCTCCTTCTATTGCTCCCGAGCAATTAGCCCTGTTCAGCTCTTGATGAGGAAAAATGTGATCCGCCAAGAGCAAGGGTCACAACAGTTTCGTGGGCTGTCGAAACAAGGACCTAAATTTTAATGGCTTTTATTTGGAAATTAATGTTCATGTCTGAATTTTAATCGTTTTAAACGGCAGATACAAGCGGAACTCATAAGAAACCGAATACAGACCTCGAGTCATTTGTCGTTGCTGTTAAATTGGACGTATTTCTGCCAAACGGAACTATGTGTATTATGACATGAGCCCTGTTACGCATATATTCTTGTGAGTCTCAAGGCTCATGTCTTAATGCACATAGTTCCGTTTGGCAGAAATACGTCCAATTGTGAAAGCCCTTACACGGCTCCGAGTAATGGTTTTAAATTCTATATTCTTGTTATGGCGTCCGAGAAATGCCTGAGAGCATTCCTTTTATGGCCATTTAACAACAGGAGTTTCTGACCGATCTCATGTAACATTGTGGTTTGATTAGTAGGACGATTACCGGAATTCTGTTTTTATGAATCTACGCAGGAAGCTACCTAACGGGAGGAACGTGAAATTTTGGAAAAACGAAATAAAGAAAAAAATGGAAGCCCAATCAATACCGTCCCCCTAAAACTAAAAAAGTCCATATTCTTTTCTTTAAAGTTGTCATTATTATTCAAAGTTGTAATTATAATAATAAGACGCATCCGTTGCGGCTTTCAAGTGCCTAGCCCAAAAAGTTCGGTCGGATCCACCAGCACGAAAAGTAAGAAACGTAGGAGGAAATTTTGGTCTTTAATACTCTTTTTGCGTGATTTCAATTAAAGTCCTTTATTTGGCTCGCGAGTTCGTGTGACCTTATAGGAACCCTCGCGAGGAGCAGCGTCAGTGGCGTATGGCGCGCTTTGCATTGAATCAATGGATCTGCCTTTAAACCGATGCATGGAAAAGGATCAATTATCAGGGGATTCGCAACAACATCCTAATAATCGATTATTTACCATAGCTTCAAATGGGGGTGTATCGTATCGATAGTCGAACATTCACGCTCTGCCACCGGACCGCCTATGAGTCCCGGTGCAAAATTACGCCTGCTCGAAGCTGATTGTATCTGAGAGTCATCTCTGCGTTCCGTTAACTAACATAATGCAGATGTGAGTAGTTATCAAGATTCCCACTGATCACCAGCGCAGCGTTTTGCGCGCTTTTGATAGATAAAATGTTAATTTTATTGGGAAACGTAATTAAATTCAACGATGGCATCGTCTATTCGTTAGGTTTGTTATCGACGACGAAGAGGGCCCGAAGCGGGCTGAATCAACGGTCCGTACGTGGGTCCTTCCTACCGTGCTAAGGAAGAACGCCGTATGAGCCTTCAGACGTTGCCAAGTTTCTACCGATAACTACTAATATTACTGGGAAAATTGCGAATATTATTTTCCAAAATTTTCAGACATTTTTGTACGTGATTGAGTCTAAAATATCTGAAAATTTCAATGAGAAATAAGCATGAATGTTGTCAAAAATACATGTTTTATCGAGGGAAATGTGGCAACTCTCGAATGTTCATACCGCGTTCTTCCTTAGCACGGCAGAGTAGGCGGACGACCAAGGCAGCATTTTCTCGGCTCAAAAGTCGAAGGCTCGGCTCAGGTTCAAAATCGTCTGGAGTCTGGTGGAGTTGACTCAATTTTTGCGTGGAAAAATTTTGTAGACTGTGTGTGCAAGACACATCTTCTCAAACATAACCAGTGTCCATGCCAATTATGTTTGCACCTCTAGACTGCGACTGGAGATCGTCTGACACCACTTTTACATTAAAAGTAACCAGTACAGAACCAATGATGGCGGATCATCTGTCGCAGGCTAAAAGTGCTTAAACTTATTTGGCGTGGACTCTATTGCAGCTCGGCGGATATGATCTGGCCTACCTTGAAAATTGAAGGCGAAGTAGCAATGCATCCTACAAGGATCTCATCGCCGGTCTTTACAGAGGACCTTAAAGCGATCCCAATCTAGTAGTCCAATCATTCCAGTTTTCAATTCTAATCGTATCTTCTGTCCTAGTGGCGCTAAAGCTCTCGGAACCCATTGATGCGTGGGAGGCGGGGTACGGGGAGCTCTGTGCCCCATACTGGACAATGAACTCTCGACGGTGGCGGTCCTGGGAGCAGACCTTGGAAAGTATTCCGGCCTGGACGGTCGCACGGCGAGCCATTAGTCACCGGTGACCTAAATATGTTGTGGGCGCTGCCGATGCCGATGCCGGCACTCCCGTGTATGTGTGCGTCTGCAGGTCGTACTCCAAGTCGGCGACCGTCGCGAAGCAAGTGCGCGGTCATTCACGCGTGTGCCCTCTCCCCCCCCCCTTCTTAGGATCGCACCGCGGTCGGTGTTTGCTGTTGGCGATTCGAAAGGGAATGCACTTGAAATAGTGGATCAGCAGAGCAGCCTGTTGCCAAACGGACGGAGAAGGGGTTTTTCGGCCGCCCGAACAAGGCGAGGGCTCTCGGAAATAGATCAGGGGACTTCTAGGAGAGGCAATTAGACCGCTTTTAGCCGATTTTTTCAGCGATTTTCTGACCGTAGCCCCCCCTTTACTGAAAAAAAAACACATTGGATCTAGAGTCTTAAAAACATCGACAAGAAAAAATACTCTTGATTCAATCAGATTTAAGCTTAAATCAAGAACCAAGCCTCTTAATTTGAGCGGATTTCCTTTTTATTTAAGCTTAAATCTGATTGAATCAAGAGTCCTTTTTCTTGTCAATGTTTTCAAGGGTCTGGACTTTAGATCCAATGTGTTTTTTTTCCAGTGCGTTCAAACGAAATATACATACGTAAAGCCGCTTTTATAGCGCAGCCTCGCGCTTTCCGACGCCCAATCACCATTACCTCCTATCCTCCCAGGGATCTTCAAGCAATTGGCACCTCCTGATCTCCTCCTCCTCTCCTTGTCGCCAACTTTTCACAGGATGTCCACGCTGTTGCCTTCCAGGAGGAACCCAACAAAACAAAACGAAACAAACGAAATATACTTTTGGAATGATACCTCAGAGGGCTTTAATATCAGAGCAACATTTTTGAACCATGCATACAAGACATTCACGAGGTACACAGGTGCGCATATGCACTTTTATGTGCACACAAAAGTGAATGTTTTTTTCCTTCTTTCTGTTTTTGTTACCATAAATTTAAGGGTGAGTATTCTCTAATAATTCTCTTCCGGCAAATTTCATCTCACAATTGTGTAAAGTATGGTAACCATGACCAAACTCGACTTGGGATTGACTCAATGGGATGGCTTTCGAAACTTTGCAGCACAATTGAATAGAAGACGATTTTTCACAAGTAAATTTGACATTTTATACGTCACCTCACTTGAAATTTTCTCAATCATTTCTTTTATTCTTTTACTTCTTTCATTTCTATTTTTCCTCTATAATTTTCACCTTCTTTGCTTTCCCATCGAGTTCCAAGGATCGTTGCCTCGTTGTATCCTCCATGAAAGCACTGGCTATACGAGTAGGTAAACAAATTGATTTATCAAACCGTAAGTGACCGTTTAATACTTCATATTTACAACAGCACAATCATCGAGTGTGCATTTTTCTGCAACAAAAATTGAAATGAAACAAGACAAGCAAAAACAAAGCATACCGAGAAAATATGAAATAATTAAAATCATGATACAAACATCCTGCTTCAAAAAACTACTTTTTCTTTGAAATTTCGGTATATAAAAGCAGTTTGACTGATGACACCTTTTTTTTATCCCCTAGGAATTATGGAACCCTCCAGTTATCATATGGAGCTCCAGAGATTGGAGATAATCATCCCGAACAGTGGCCGTATGAAAAGCTTCAGCGCAGGTACTGAAAAACCTTCTTTCGAGTTTGCCATCTTGGGTCTGTGCTTCAAATGTAAGCATTTCAAAATTCCCTCATAACTCCACGAATTCTCCAGGCATACTGAAAACTGTGCCAACTCGCAATCTACTTAAAAATCAAACCAGATTGGACCAGAGCTAAAATATCCCTCAGGCTATTTTTTTATCGTTGCCCATTTTCTAATTTTGAATGAAAATTGCGCCAATTTTTCTCGAGTAATATATTTTCTGGTAATTTTTTTCTATTGAAAGGCAGGAATTTTTAGATTTTTAGATTTTAGGGTACGGGAAAGAACAATAGAAACCTAAGGTTTTAAAGGAGAAATACCCTTTCAGTGGAACTGAGAATATTTTTCCCGACCTTTGAATGACTCCCTCATTGATTGACTATGAATCGATCACAGGAATCTTTGTAGCTTGCGAATCAATTTCCTCACCCAGTCTCCGCGTTGTTCGTCGATTTTTTATAATTCTTGCTCCTTTTGGTCTCTTTTTCTTCGTCCCTCTTTGCTTTACTCTCATTCATCCAATGCTATTTCTACCCTTTTAGAACTCTAGCTCTATCTTCGTGGTTTTTAAAGAGTAAACTTCACACCTACTTAAAAATTTACAATACCGTTAGGAGATTTTACCGTTTTTTACTTCTGCAAATCTTCAGGAAAGCCAATATTCCATGTACTGAATTTTTGCTAGCATTGACTAGGTTTCTGCTGATTTATCAGCAGTCTGGTCTGCATATGAAGAATGTGATTATTCCTAGTGCAATATTCACGATTTAATGTTCTCGATTTGTTTTCCTTTTTTTTTTGTCTCTATGCAAACAAGATTCTGGCGATCGTTACCAGGCCTTTATATTTGTGTAACAGTGTTTGCCCCGCAGTATGGTAATTTTAAAAATCATAATCATCGATAAACTTCATTCTCTGGAATAGTAAAGTTCCCTATATGTTTTACTCGTGGATATCAATAATCGCTACGGTAACCTTCTTCTAAAAGGCATTCAGCAGGAAAATGAAGTACACGTACCCGTTTGTATTATATCTTCATCACTCGATCAAATCAAATGAAGTCCCGGCAAAAATGAGTGGGCCCCATGACAGCCATTGGGCAAAAAATGGCGCTCTTGCAATTTGTTTAAAACAAATTTGCCACTCTTATTTGAGATTGAATTATGTGTGATGGTCCAATGTTACTAGCGGATATGTTCGATCTGAGCGAGGAAACCTCTTCAACTATTACATGATTGTACTATGCCGGGAAGTCCGAATGAATGACCTCGGTTAAACCCTTGAGTCTAGACCATACCTCTCATAAGCAACTCAACACCACAGATTGCCCAATTTAACGCCCGAAAACTGGAACAGCCCAGCTTGTTGTGTCTGGAATTTTTCAGAATATCAAAGTCGTCTGACGCACTTTACGGTGACGAATACTAATCCGACAGAAATGACGCCTTAATTATAAGCTATCAAACATTGTTACATTTTGTTTGTGAAACATTCTCTCGTATCCCCTTGTTTAAGATCTGCGCCTTTTCACACTACCATCGTACTTTAACTTTTGGAATTCCCCTGCGTAAAAAAAACAACGAGAGTTATGAACAGAGACCGAAAGAGACCCCCCTCCCCCCTCATTGGTACGTTGGCAATGGTGAAAGCTTAGCATCCAATTTTTGACCAGTCGGTGGATGCTCAACGACGTGTCGAACATTTCGTTTCGTAAACAAACCGAAGTTTTGTAAACTTGTTTGGTTTACGACATCACCCAAAACTCATCCACCTAGTAGGTAAGATGACTGTTGGCTGGTGGAGGGTCTCACATTAGGCGACTTTGCGCGAGTGGATTCGGTTAAAGTTTTTAACTTCCACATCGAACATTCACGACCCACCTCCTGAGATGTATCACTAAGTGGATGGATGAAAACGTTGGCCAAGATGCATCTAGCGATTATTTAGTTCTTGACTTCAGTAGGATGTTTTCCTTTTTGGGGTTGCAGCCCTGCAGCCTGATTGTTGAAATTTTGTGTTTGTCGGATGGACAAAGATGGCATAGGTTAAATGGCGAAGCGTGATTGGTCGGCTATGTCTTATCGTTGCTTTGTCGCGCTTTGTCCATTGGAGTGGACGAAAAACTCTCTGGACCTCTTGAGTTTCCGACAGCATGTCGTCCATTCCAATGGACAAAGCACGACAAAACAGCGATAAGACATGGCCGACCAATCACGCTTCGCCCTTCAACCTATGCCGTCTATGTCCATCCGACAAACACAAAATTTCGACAATCAGGCTGCTACTTTTTGAAAAAGTCGACCAAATCCATTCACGAAAATTCACCTTTCGTCTCTGGTTATGAGGAGGCAAGGAGTATGCAAAAATTGACGTCATTGATGTCATTCCACAAGAGGGCTGTACTTTTTTTTTTGCTGTCTTGCGAGTAAAATGGTATCCTTTTCCGCGCTCTTTCGTTTGCGATTCGACGATGACGAGATGTGCAGCTGACGAAGGAGCCTTATCGAGCAGTGCCGCAAAATCCGGTTGCTAGGTCAGGACGGCACGGTGGCGCGGTGCCCCAGAAGCGAGCGGCGGCGGGGGCACAGGCTCAGGCAGGAGTGCAGGAGGGCAGTGAGTCGCAAGTCCAGTTGTTGGTCCTCATGACCGCGAGCCGGGCTACAGGACGCCGACGACGCGACGGGGGACGCAGCCGGCGAGTACGGGCGACGCGGCCGGCGCATACGGGGGACGGGGCCGGAGGACGTGCCGATATCCACAATGCAGAATCAAAACCGCGCCACGTCCACGTCAATCAAGAGCCTCCTCGCTCGTCAACATTCTTCGTCTGCAGATGTAGCTAGTCGATATTTTATGAACTGGAACCCGTAGGCCGTAGGCCTCTCAACCGCAGATCCCCCTTTGCCACCCCCCCACCCCACCCAATCCATCATCCTACTATGCTGCCGTGCTAAGGAAGAACGCCGTATGAACATTCGAGAGTTGCTGAATTGCCTTCGATAAAATGTTCATTTTTGAGGAGAGTTATGAATATTTTCCCTTGCAATTTTCAGGACTTTCGGTGGAGTTGCGAGCAAAATTATCTGTAAAATTTGAGGGAAATACTCACAAGTTTACCAGGAACTTTGTTTTTTATCAAAGGAAATTCGGCAACGCCTAAAGGTTTATACGGCGTTCTTCCTTAGCACGGCAGTATGCCGCCTCTTCACCCGGACGGCTTTGAAATCCGCTTCATACAAAGACTAGCGTGCAAAGGAAGAGAACCCTGTGAAAAGAAAAGAAAGAAGAAAAAAGGGGGAAAGGGGGGGAATTTTTCAATGCAGCGAGGTGCAATTTGGGGCTGTTGTTAAATCGGTCAACATTTTGCAATATTGTCAACTATTTCCAACTAACCCATCAAAGCACCTATTTACTTTTGCGTACGTTTTTGAGGACCCATATTTTGTATTTTTGTAGTAGTCAAAATTCCAACTACCTAAGCCACAACATGAGGTTCATCGTAAAAATCGATTCGAATTTTTATGATTCCGACTTGAATCAGTCTGCATCAGGTATATCCGTTACCAAATCAGGAATGAAATCCAGACACTGTTCGTATAATCGCCGCCCCGAAGTCTAGTGGTTCCTCCTAATACATCGCACCTCTAGTCCGACAGCAATATATTTCCCGAAAAGTTACGCCTTCAACGCGGCAGGCACCCAGGCACCCTCCCGCTTTTACACCCGAAAACCCAGACAAAAACGCCCCGGGTAATTATAGGTTTTTGGTGCCGCGTCGAAAATCGTCGGGAAAATTGCATTTAAATAGGAGCCTAAATGCTACGAGATTCATATGCCACTTGCGCGGTTTTTCATATGAGCTACTCGATTTACATGAGAACAAAGCTGGACCCTTGACGAGCATCACACGTGCATCCCATAAAGCGATTCGTGGGCGGATCCAATCCTGTACCCCTTTCTCTGATTTCGTGTAGGGGATGAGAAGGGTGAGGGGGATTCATTGAAAGAGTATCTGCTCTCTGCTTGTGTTCATAGCAGAAAAGCTGTACTCAATAATGCGGCATCGGTATCAGTGGCGTAGCGGGAATTGCGATTTATCGATTTTTATGCCATTTAAAGCTATGGAAAAGGATCGATAAACACAGTGTTCGCAGCGAACACCCTAATAATCGATTTTTTACCATAGGCTTAAATGGCATAACAATCGATATATAGCAATTCACGGCATGCCGCTGATCGGTATGCTCTGCATTTAGGGGTGCTTGGTGGCTATGCGGATTAGATTCACATATATTTTGGGGTGAAAAATTCCCTGGGAGAATGACTATCTTTAGCGGTAAAGAATGTCTTAGCTATGCCCACACCCCAAAATTAATCATAAATATAAGTAATTTTTTCACCATTATATGTTGCAAATTACAGCGAATCCTTTCCTGAATGAGGAAAGCACTATTTCGTCTAAAATGAGGGGAAAAAAATCAGAAATTCAATGTTATAAGAATAGTTGAGCATCTGCCGAGGCATTTCTTAAAATGCCTGATTCGGCTATTAGCCTGCGACATATATATCACGAACGAAAGTTTTGAAGTGCCACATTATTGAGCCGTTTTTAAGTGCTTGCTGTTGATGATATAGTGTAATCCCTAAAAAAATTTTAAAATGAGTGGACAACTTTTTTTTTTTTTTTTTTTAAGTAAACCCACNTCCGGAGCCTGGAGCCCAATATTGGGTCCAAGAAGCTCCAGGCTCGGAGCTGGAGCCTGAAAAACGAGAAGGAGCCGCCTTGGCTCCGGCTCGCTCCGGATCCCTGGATATAAGCCATGAAATTACCTCAAAACACACAGGTATGCGTCATGTCAGAGTAGCCTCTTCCGTCAACAAGCGTGCGAGGCCTTCCTGTCCTCACTCATTAATTGATTGATTAGTTGCATCGCAAACCAGACATCGCAACAATCGATCAGACGCAATCGCGTCT